ATGATATGATGGTGTACCTTGAAAACCCAAGAGAATCTGTCAAAGGCCTCTTTACATTGACTTTTTTATTTATTGTAGAGATGAGGTCTCGCTGCCCAGGCAGGTCTCGAACCCGCGGGCTCAGGCAATCCACTCACCTCAGCCTCCCAAAGGTGCGGGATCACAGGCTGAGCCACCGAGCCTGGCTATGCCTGATTTTAAAATGCTAACTTTTAGGAATACAGATAGTTCTTATCCCAAACCAAAGGAAAATTCTGGGAATGGCATAGGAAATTGGAGTTTTCATGGATTAAAGGTTTGGTATCTCTCCACCTGTAACCCTTTAGGTTCACTTCTTCTGTGCATACTTTTATAAGCATAAGTATATGGCTGATCACTGACTCCATAGTCTCTGGGAAGTAAAAACAAAATTATAAGCTGCTCTAACATTTCTAAGAGTAGTCACTTTTTGTTATACAGATAAATAAAAAGTCTTCAACAGCCTCCACAGATGTAAATCATTTTTAGTGAGGATTTAATAGTGGAAGAAATACACCCTTGACCTTCTCCTCACCATGATGTGTGCTCTTGGACCTCCCCTAAACACTATAATCATCTTACATCTTGACGGAATTTGATATCAAAAGTGACTGTACACCCCAAAATATACACCTGTCCCAGGCGACTTTCATAATTACAGTTACTTAAAATTTACCACCTATTTTCACTATAATCCCTGTTTACAGTAATGACTCCTGCATCCCAATTGTCTTCATTTTAAACTAAAAGTACTCTTCTAATTTCTTGAGATGCTAGAAAAGAGAGGCTATGAAAACTTCTACCATTTTATTGACTTAAAATTAGCATAATTTAGGCTCAGATTTTCCTGACAGAGGGCATCATTTATTATTATTATAACGACTACCAGGATTAATAACAAAATGACAAAAAAAAACCCTCTGAGATCAGTTGTTTTGACAGATTTTGTATCTAAACTCTGCAATAGCATACCCATCATTTCAGTTTCAAAATAGCTCCTATCCTTTCACTTTGGGGCTCACCAGGCTTTTAGAAGGCCTTTATAAATTAACAAGCCTCAGAATACTCTTTCTGTACCATTGTAAAAAGAGTGGGCTTTATTTTTTCTTTTTTAATCCATGATGCTGGCATTAGCATGTTGAATGAGAAGGGAATAACAAACAAACAAACACATGAAGGAATTCAACTGCAGACTGAGTAGTTTGTAGATTTTAAACAACAAAGATACTGCAGAAACTTCAGTTAGTATTGAAGAGAAAGAAAACAAACCAAAAAAGAAAAAAGGCAAATGTAAGACTCCAGTTGGATGTCACAGATGGTATACTAAAATTGCAAATGAATGCCACTCTGTAATTATGAAGACAGTGATCTTAATCTCACTTAAAGGACACTAGCATCCTACCCAATGGTTTGCCTTTCTATTTAAATTATTTGTACTTTGCCTTCCAACAAATCAGCTATTCCTTGTCCTTTAATTCATTTTTCTCTTTGTTTATTCTGCGTAGAATAGATTTTTATCATTGTCATTGCCATAACAAATAAATGACTCTTGGAATTTGTGTCAGGAAAAAACACATGTTGAACCATTGTTCTGAAGAAGCTGGGGCAAAAAAATTTGTCTTGTCCTCTTAAGTAAAATATTCCTTTAAAAAGAATCCCTAGGGAACTTGAGAGAACTTGCATGTGCTCCTGTCTCATCGCTGAACTCCTGTTACTCAAACACAGATCTCCTCCACAGATCACCTTAACTCTACCACTTGACCCCCCACCCCAGTATAAGAATAAGAAAAAAGTTTGCTTAGAGCTAGTTTTAGAACTAGTTTACCTTTAGGAAACTGTGCTCTAAACCCCATTTATAAGAACTAACAAAAGTGCATAAATTATGCATTAAATAAGTTGCAAGGTGTATGAATTATATACGTTCACAACATTAAAAAAATAGCCAGGCTGATCCAGTACAGCAAGTCTGAAGTGTTGGCAAATCTGCAAAGGTAATTTTGCTCAGTAGTTTCAAACTCTGAGCAGTAGAAGTACAGACTTAGAGCACAGACCACAATATGACCCTGAGATTCTCAGGAAGGTTTTTGTTTTATTTCCACAGGTTTAATCAAATTCTCACATAAGCCAGAGATGACAGTATGGCATTCTTTTGTCCCTTCCCTTCTAAATGATATACATTTTACACCTTATCAGCTCCCTGCCAACTCAGTTTCTGTTCTTGGCCAAACAGGAAGGGAATAAAGGCTTCTGACATGGGTACAAGCAGTTTCTCTCAGTGCTTTGAAGATCTACCTTCTTCTCAACAAGGATTTCTCTTAGGGCATCTTAAATCTGGACAACAGATACATAGGAAATGTTTCAAGATAAAAGGTGTGGGATGCTGAGTGGGAGGGTTTTGATTCATGAATCAACATTTTTAGAAAGAACCCTGGAAGACTGTGTAGGCTCAAAGACTTGTCCACTTGGAATGTCCCTAACACCTTACAGTATGAACCACCTCTTTGTGTGGCTCTGTCACCGATAAGGGGGCACTCAGCCACAGTCAGCCATATCTTTTAGATACACAAACACTGACCATCCCATCACAGTCAAGTTATTTCTGAGGGCAGGGCACATAAGGACATTGTACTAGTTGACAGCCTTTCAGTCAACTCAAAGATAACTTCAATAATAATATAATTTTAGTGTCTCAACTTTCTGAGTAACTGGGACAGGGGAACATTTATGCTAGCCCTAAGAAAGGATTTTTTAAAAAGAGAGAGTTGGAATATTTCTGAAATTCAATGAAGACAGATGCACTGTGACTTCTTGAGATTCATTCTTTGCTTTGGACAGTAACACTCCTAAGAGACATTGAAGAGAGATTGATGATATTGCTGACATGGATGCATAATAATCTTGGCCTTGCAGTTCAGTGAGCAACATTCACTGCAGAATATTTGTGATATTCACGACCTGCAAGACACTGGGATTTTATGAACTATTTTGAAATTTCTTTCCTTATTTAGTCCACATGTTTATAAATGCAATAACAGGGTCTGTGGGTAAACTGATATATTTTTGCTATTCTAGTTAAGAATCATTGATTTAAGACACTCACTTTGCCAAGTTGACATTTTTTAATCAAAAAGTAAGTTTCCAGCAAGTCATGGATATGTAAGCTGGATATTTTTAAAATCTAGTTTCCAGCTCAGCATATATTGCATATGGCATAGAAACACTGTGTAAACTTCTATCAGACTGATGCAAGGCAAGTTGTCAGTTAATAGGGGAATTTCTGGAAAAGTATTGTCAAAATGGGTTTGTTGGATGAGCATTTTTAACCTCTTGTAAGTCCCTATCATTTAGCTTATGGTAAATGAGGACCTAAATTAATAAGTATGAAATAAAAGATAGCAACTCAAGAAAATACTAAAAAAGTATTTTATGCTCCTTGACCCAGTCTTAATACCACAGAGAGTAGGTCATTCTCATCCTCACAGGAACGAGTAGAAACCAAAGGCGCCAATAAAATGTTAAACCCACATTAATAACTTCATAAAGTAAGCACATAGTATATGCATGTCCCCACACACAATTTTGAAGCAGTATTTATAATAATCTAATTCACTGAATGTCATCATCTCACAAGCAGATCCTGGAAAGAACATACATACTTGAATTCTATCTAAATAATTACTTGAGAGTATCTTTAAAATCAAAACCCTTGATCTAGGTATTTCCAGTTTGGGTGGCAAGAGGCATATAATGGGCTCTGAATCAGCCTCAAATGATTAGGCTACCACACAGGAAAAAAAAATCCTTATATGGATCCAGGTCATTTTATTACAATTTCTGAGGCCATAAGCCATGAACTACCTTCATTGAGAGTGACTATGAATTGTGTTTACAAATATACTAATTCTGTTTTTCTTTTTCTTTTCAATCCAGGAGGTGAATTAGTTATCCCTCTTCTTGTAGAAGACCCTTTAGCCACCCCTTCTATTGCTACTCGTGCACCTTCCATTACACTCTCCCCTACCTTCCGCCCCCTCCTCACCATTATTGAGACCACCAAAGATTCCCTGTCCATGACCTCTGAGGCGGGGTTACCTTGCTTGTCGGACCAAGGCAGCGATGGTTGTGATGATGATGGCTTGGTGATATCTGGGTATGGCTCAGGGGAAACCTTTGACTCTAACCTGCCCCCTACTGATGATGAAGATTTTTACACCACCTTCTCCTTGGTAACAGATAAGAGTCTTTCCACTTCAATCTTCGAAGGTGGCTACAAAGCACATGCGCCCAAGTGGGAATCCAAGGACTTTAGACCTAACAAAGTCTCCGAAACTAGTAGGACTACTACCACATCTTTGTCCCCTGAGCTGATCCGCTTCACAGCTTCCTCCTCGTCTGGGATGGTGCCCAAATTGCCAGCTGGCAAAATGAATAACCGTGATCTCAAACCCCAGCCTGATATAGTCTTGCTTCCGTTGCCCACTGCCTATGAGCTAGACAGCACCAAACTGAAGAACCCACTAATTACTTCCCCCATGTTCCGTAATGTGCCCACAGCAAACCCCACGGAGCCAGGAATCAGACGGGTTCCGGGGGCCTCAGAGGTGATCCGGGAGTCGAGCAGCACAACAGGGATGGTCGTCGGCATTGTGGCTGCCGCTGCCCTCTGCATCTTGATCCTCCTGTATGCCATGTACAAGTACAGGAACAGGGACGAGGGGTCCTACCAAGTGGACGAGACGCGCAACTACATCAGCAACTCCGCCCAGAGCAATGGCACGCTCATGAAGGAGAAGCAGCAGAGCTCCAAGAGCGGCCACAAGAAACAGAAGAACAAGGACAAGGAGTACTATGTGTAATCACCATCACGCTGATAACACATGGATTTCCAACAGCATTATTTCTACATGCTACATGAATCCTTTGACCATGAGGTTCAACGGGTGTCACAACTGTTCTCACTTAGGAGATGGGGTATGATGCCATGACTATGGTGGGGAAAACCATTTTTAAAAGGACACACACAGAGATGTATCTATCTCTAAAATCCAGCCATGGCTGCTGTGTTTCAGTCATTGCTCGGAGACAGAAGGTTCTTTCTGCCCTGCTGTATCATAAAGCACATACTTAGCGCTCTGGAGCAAGCCAGTGGCTCCACCACTTTCGCGGACTTGGAAGCTTCCTTCTTCTCTTGAGGACCTTTTCCAAAAAAGGTAGAAGACTCATGGCTTACTTGTTCCATAACTCCAAGTGAGTCTGTAATGATGTTTGTGAAGCTTGACTGTAACCATTTCTTTTTCTGTTTAATTATGTAAAAAAACAAAACAAAAAAAAAGAGGAAAATGTAAAAAGCAAAACAAGCAAAAAAAAAAAAAAAAAAAAAAAACACTACCCTTATCTGGTTCTGGCCAGTGTGCGTGTAACTTTTCAAGATCTGAGGGGAAAAAAATGGCTTTTGGGTTTTTATTTTTTTGAGAATGACTGGACATTAGTTAAGAAGAAGAAAAAAAAAACTGAAAACAAAGTGAGAGAGACTATTGCCATATGAACTCAAAAGCTACCATGGTGTTCACTCTACACATATCAGGTTGTGGTGTCTCTAGAATCTGTTGTTTGTTTCCTACAAGACACTTTGCTGAACACTTAGCAAAATTCATGTGATGGATGATAATATTGATTTGAAAAGCTGGTCCCCCCGGATCTAATTCCAGAATTTTCCACCCAAACCCCAAACAGATGGGTTTAGGGTTGGCCTTATCATAGCTATTGGCTTTACTTAACAATATTGTCCTGTCCATTAACCCAGCCAAATCATGTTGAAGGGGAAAGCCCCAAGAACTAAAGCAGAGCCTTTCCTAGAGAAGGGGAATGGGGGTGGGCTGGATCTGTCACTGATTGAAATGCATGCAAATAAAAAAGACAATACTAAAGTCTGTTGAATAATCAAAACAGATAATACGGAAGTTAAACTTGTGATGGAACCACAAAAGGTCACACAAGCCAAACATGTCATGACAGAGTGCAAAATGCATAGTTCTTCCCTCCCCCCCATGACAATGGTTTTCATAGTGATTTAATTTTGTAGCCTGACCTGGATATCTCTGTCCTTCCATTTGCTCACTTCTCCCTTCACCCATCTTTTTAAAAAACAAACAAATAAATAAATGAATAAAGCTGCTGTGACACACAAAAAAGGAATTTAATAGTATAATATATATATAAATAAATATATATACAGATATATTTATCATGGTATGTTTGATGGGATGACTGACAGGAAATCTGTTAAAGTCTTGAAGTGGAATGTTGTTTTAAAAGAAAATAACAAAACAACAAAAAAGTAAACCTTAAAATGTGAAGAAAGTGTGAGTTTTAGTTTTGTCACAGTTAACTGTGTCAAAGAGAATTAAAAAAAAAAATCTCAGATTTTGTTTACATATTTTACTACATTTTTGCTGGTATATTTCCTTAGTCACCTGTATACATACTGCTTTAAGAACTGTTTTTTCCTTTCGGGTTGTTTCTGTTTGTTTGGTTTATATTCCAGCTGTCTTTTTTCTTTTTGTAAAGAGGAAACAATGTACAGAAATAAAATAAACTGGTTGTGTGGCCATAGCTGTTCAAAAAGTGAGAGACAAAGCAAGACAAATATTCACACAAAAATGAAGTGTGTCCTCTGGAGGGTCAGATATATACAATTTTTTCTTGTACAGATGAAAATCAATCAGCTGTTTAGATTTAGAAATCTACTCTTGCTGGTCTTTGTAAGTTGCATGAATATTTGACTTTGAAAAAAAACTCTTAAAGACATGGGGCAAAAAGAGCAACCTAAATGGTAGCCTTTACTAATGTGTATGGAAAGCGGTGTTCCTCATTATCTACTATTTCAATGTGTTAAGAGTTTATGTTTTTTGTTGTCATTAAAAAAGACAGGATTATAAAAGAGATATCAAAGCACGATTTTAGATAACCTAAATGGCCCAGCCTATATGAAGTTGATTATATCTTGATGTCTGTAAGAGATTGCTGTTGTTGGAGTCTTGAGGTCTTGTGAACTGATTTCCTGCTTTCTTTCTTTACATTTTTTTAATTTGAGTAAAAATACATTTGTTATATTCCTTTTAGTGTAAGTTTCTATTTGGACAATTTTATGGGAACATGTGCATTCTGTATGTGAGCTTCTATCATATTCCTGTTGTTTTATTAGCAGAACCTAAAGGAATTTATTTTATGACGTTGTGACGTTACTGCTTTTTCTTTTTCCTTTTCTCTTTTATTTCATATTTGCATTTTCGTTCAAGGATATGCTTAGCAATAAAATGTTCTTCCCAAAACCTCGTATCATGATGCACTTTTATTTTTTTAACAGTTGGGAAAATATATTACACTGAAGTTAAATGTATCACATCTCAAATAAGCCAAGATTATTTTTATGATATAAAATATTCTAAGCAGTTAATTACATAAACATCAAAAGTGGCATGTCCATGAGATAAACAATTACTGTCTGTTAGAGTCAATATTGTTTAGATTGCTATGATAAGCATAACCAGGAAGGGAAAGTACTTTTCTGAAAAGGTAAGATGGCAGAAGCATTATAGAAACTAGAGACACTGAACACCTTGTTCAAGGTCTCGCAGCTAGTAAAGGACAGATCTAGGATTTGGAGCCAAAATCTGAATTAAGCCTTTATATCCCAAAGTCTGTGGCCAAAGTTAAACACATCGGAAGGGTATGGTGTAATCACAACATTCCCTCATATAAACACAAGGAAAAATTATGACCTGTATAATATTCCATCATGTATATGTAAAAAAAAAAAAAAAATTATGTCTGCTAATGGACTTTGACCAATGTATTTAAACAAATGACAGTCCAATCTTGATGAAATGTGTATTATCCATCATCTAGAAATTTATTTGGAAAGTTCACCATTCCTCACTTGACTTACCTCAACTTCTAATCACTCACTTAAAATGTGCTGTCAGACAGATGTATGCTACCAAAAGTCAGTAATACATATTTACTAGTTGCATTTATGCTTGTAATGAAAGTATATGAGTAGAAAAAGAATAGTTTTATCAGTTATAGCTAGTAAGCCCTGGGCATGACGTGGCTCCGTTACTTGACAACTACTGAGCACATCCTTTTTTGAGTGTAGAATTTAGTGTATTGTTTCTAAATCTCAAAAGTAGCTATTATATAGGGAAAAATATAAGACTCAGAGTCTCAAAAGTTGAAAAGGCAGCAACCTTGTTAGTTGCCGTCTCTGTCAAACAGAGTTAAAGACACTTTGTTATTTCAGTTTTTTCCCCCCAAAACTATCTTGCAAGTCAAAGTCATTGAGTTGTCATATTTTTCAGGAGAGGAAATCAAATCTGAGAACTAAATTTGCCCACACATAATGAGTTGTTCATCTGGCAACAACCCAGCTCTGACCTCAGTGTCTATGTCCTTTCTATTAATACAACAGCCCAATGACTTCCATGTCAGCAAGCCCTGACTTTTAACATGATTTAGGAATATTGTATATTAGTCAAATTGCCCTTAAACCTTTTGTGTTTTTTTATTATTTCCTCATCTTTAAAATGGAGAAAATACTAACTGCTACTCAGGGATTAAACAGACTATAGATCAACATATTTACATAATACCTGGAATATCATAGACATTGATAAATAATTGCTTTATGGAAATTATCTGAGACAGGAACCAGAAAAGAAATTGTCCATAATTTTACCTGAGTCTGATTTTTCCCCCATTCCTAAAATAGTCAATAGCATAACCATTCCACTAATAAAATTTAAAGGCACAGGCTTAAATTAAATATATATGTTTAAATTGTAACACTTTGAAAACTGTTAACCACATATGGATAAATAACAGCTATTCAATCACACCTGTATTTCTGGAACACAGTGAAAAACATAGGGTACCATGGTGGATTATTCAACTGGTAAAGTAAATATGTAGAGAACCAAAGATATGAAGAAAGTTTCAGTTATAATGAGTCTATAAATACTTTTATTATCAAAAACTCTAGAAAGAAGCTGTTAAAATTCAAGCACTCATTTAAATTTTGTTATTGGATTTTTTTTTTCTTTTTAAATTTAAATATGGCAGAAGGCTTTCTAGTGCTTAAGGTGCTATGTGAACAAAATTCTAGAATACTGTCCAAACCCTGTTGACTTACAGAAAATACAAGGCACCAAACATTTGGAAAATATAGTATTTAATAATCTCTTCCAGAATATAACCCACCTCTTAATGTTTTTTTACAATTAAATTAGTTGCTGTGAATGTACAGTACCTGACCCATAGCCCTGAAACAATGATAGTTGTTATCCTTTTAATCATCTGCTATTATCCTTTTTTTTAAAGACAAAATTCCTCCAAAAAGTCTAGAAAAGATACATGTTAGAGAGTCACAGAACAATCATTTTCTTATGTCACCTAAAAACATAATTGGTTTTACTCTCCTGTGGTTGGAATTTCATCAATGTATTAACTCCTTTTGCTCTTCTTGAGTCTTCCACCAGAAATGCACATAGCCCTCTAAAGTCCTTTAAAATCCTTTACTTCAACCAACTCTTCAGATGTAGAGCCCTTAAGAAAGGTTAAAATGGTAATCTTTTCTGTGCCTCAAAGGAAAAGTTTTCTGTCCCTCCCAAACTACAGAGCTATTATTGCCTTATGTACCCCTTCAAAATTCTATATTAGCTTTCCTCCCATAAATGTTCTAAAACTTACCATTTAATATATAATTCTAAGGGCACTTTAAGCATTCACTCTTTTGATAAATCAGGAAGTATTTATTGAACACTTACATGCTAACCAATCTACTATTGGCTGTTGTTACCTTGTTTCAGTGAAGGCAGAAAATGGCTATGAGGATTTTAAACCTTTTTTTTTTTTGGTCCTTTTATAGATTTATACAGGTCCAGGCTTTCTTCACCTATATTCAAATTGAAATTTGAGTTTCCTCCAAAAATACCCAAAGCCTATATTTGTCCCAGTTGAACTGAAATCTTGATTATATGATTTGAGGTTAGTCTGATAATTAATGTCTATTGAACATTTACTAAATGATTATTAGATCTTAAATTGAGAGCCTTACAGACTTATCTGGTAAGGATTCACAAAAAAATGATATTACAGTGAGTACAAATAAGTTATCCAAAAAGTACAAAGTCCTTTGGGGGTTTAGAGGAAATTACTTAAGGGAAGGTTTAATAGGGAACATGAAATATTAGGCAAACCTTGAAAAACTGATAAACAGAGATAAGGGCTGTTTGTCATTCTAAGCAAAGCAATGAAGTTGGAGCAAGTAGAATCATAAACCATAATTTAAATTGATGACCAATTTTTAAAAATTACATTGGTAAAAGATGAGACTAGGTAGATTTTTTGGAATCTTGTCAATGAAGGGAAGAGAAAAATGGGAGACTCTCTAGAGAAGTTCTCAAGGTCAAGAGGACTTGTCTGTCACTGAGTATAAAGGTCACATGCATGAGAAAGGTAATAACTGATCCATGCTCAGTGAAGGTGAAAGATGATTGGAGCTATTGAATTTCCAGATAGGTTACTCTGAAAAAAAGAGATAAGTTAATCTTCTGATATAGAAACAAAGATGGAGAAAATTGGATCAGGAACTTACACATTGCTGCAGAGGTGACAGATTTGAAAAAGCCATTGTCAGAGATCCTCAGTGTTCTAAATAAATTAAGGGGCAAGATCATGTACCAAAGCATAGGCCATAAGCCCGTGGTAGAAGTCAGCCGACAATCCCATTGGAAGGCAGCTAATAAAATAATCTCAAAGTATCGGTAAGGGGTCAGCTGGCATTATCTGGCATTAATAGTGAAGCTTTATTTGTCTATGACATTTTCTCTTTTATTGTGAAATCAAGGGTAGATTTTTTTCTGATGTGTATATTACAAAGAAAATGGGCTCAAGGACTTAAATGACTCCTTCAAGGTCACACAGTTAATAAGTGACAGAGTCATGACTTAAAATCTAGTATTGTGGTTCTAAATTTAGAGCTCTTTCAAATACATAGTGCTGTCTCTAGAGAGGCAAGTCATTTGCTAGTTTTCCCAGAAGCATTTGGAATGAAAGCTAAGAAATGAAATGATAGAATATATTAGCTTACATGGATTGCCATTTTAAAAATACCACAATCTGAGTAGTTTAAGACACAGAAATTTATTTCTCACAGTTCCAGAGACTTCCAAGTTCCAGATCAAAATGTGGTAGAGTTAAGTTTCTAGGAAAGACTCTTTTCCTGGCTTGTAGAGCACACACCTATGATGTGTGCTCATGTGGCCTTTCTTCTGTACATACACTGAGAGAGAGAAAGACAGTGCCCTCTCTTCATTTTCTTACAAAGTCTCCAATACTATTGGCTACAGCCCCACTGTTATGACTTCACGTAATCTTAATTACCACCTAGAGTACCCTGATATAATCACATTTGGGGTTAAGGCTATAACACATGAATTTTGGAGGGGACGTGTTTTCAGTCCATAGCAGATGTACACAGGGTTGAGAAGTGGTGAGGTGAATATTTCAAGAGATCAAGGGAATCAAGGATTCCACAAGCTACTCTAACCTTGTTGAAGTGGTGACATGGGCCAGTAGAAGAGCAAATAAATCCATGAGAGAGAAAAACCACAGAGCAGAGGAGGGTCACATGAGTAGGGACCAGGATGATGGGGGAGGACAGTGTTAAGCTTGTATCAAGAGTGAGGGCATGTAAGACAAGAACAGCTACAAGCAATACATTCTCAGATCTTAGAGATGCAGGAAATGAAGAAAGTAAGATTCAAGAGGACTTGAATTTTTTGTTAATGGTTAGGGACACAGGTTCTGGGGTCAAAATGCTGTGGCCTGCATTCTGGTATTATAGCTTTGGATAAACTACTTAGTTGAGCTAGGGCTCAACTTTCATACCTACCTATTATACCTATCTTATAGGTTTGCTGAGAAAGATTAACTGACATACTGCATGCAAAATTAGCATATGCCTGGTACAAAATAAGCCTTAATAAGTGTTGGTCATTATTATAATTGGTCATCTTACCTGACTCAGGCAGAATCAAAATTACCTGCTACATGTATGGCTAGCCAGGACCAAAAAGTGTATAAAAATATAGAAGTTTTGTAATCACTCTGAGTATTTCTCTACTTCTTTCATTTGCAAATAAAATATTGAATTCAGTTTTCCTTTCAATACATTACTTTCAGTTCTTTGCTTCCAAATTCTAGCTTCAATTAGACCCAGGGAAGCACTGCATCCTTAGATTTTTATTCTTTTCGTAGGTTTCCAGTCCTC